ACGAGAAAAAGGACAGTCCCCGTGGGCCCGGGGCACAAGCAGCACTCTCTCCACAGGTGTTTCCCGGGGCCCTGGAGGAAGGCGTGGTGCGCGGGGGAGGGGACGGCCAAGTTGTGCCACCTAGCAGGTTCCCTTAAATATGGTGACGTCGTTGACTGGTGTCCAGGAAAGCCGGCAGCAGCTCCCCTTCCCACCGTGACCTCCGGCTCTGCCAGAGCCCGTCTTTTCCTCGAGGGACGGGGAAATTCTAGGATCAAACCCTATGTCACTCAGCCATGCATATATTTCATCAGCTGCCACTGGCACAGTGGCGGCCAGCTCAGCGTCTCAGCCCGAGTGTCGGCTGTGCGTGAAAATGACTTATGTGGGGGGGTGACAGTTCAGGGGCGGAGCACACGCCTCGCGTGCCCGAGGTCCTTGGATCAGTCCCCGTTGCCTCAACTAAAAATAGGTAAATAAATAAATAAGCCTAATCTCCCCCCCAAAAAATAAAAACTTAAAAAAAAGGACTTATCTGGGGGAAAAAAATCTAAGGTAAGTTAGTTCACATTAAAATATTTAAAATATTTAAATATTTATTGCAAAAAAGTTACTTTAAAACGACTTAAAATTATGTTAAAAAAGATGTTCTTCCACTTTATTAACGGATGGCAAACCTAAAATTTTTAAATAAAACTTACACAGGTGATAATTATTTTCTAAACTCCACGTACGTCTCCTTAACAAAAGGTGCACATACCTGTACGAGCAGGTGCCAAACAGAAAACCATCAGAAATCCCGAAGCAGACGCCACCGCCACACTTTGGGTGCTGAGCACACGGCACTCGGGTCCCCGAGACACGGAAGGAGCCACGCCCACCCTCACCTGGCCCTCCCAGCCCCTCGCAGGAGGACAGGCCAGGGCTGCTTCTGGGCCCTGGACGCCACCAGGCAGACCAGCACGTGGGACCAGCAGCTCCGACTCTTCAACACAGCACAGAACTGAGTGAAGGGAGATTTCAGAGGCGTCTGCGGACTCAACCAGATCCAACTCAAGGCAGCCAGCAGTAAAGACATGGGCAGTCTCCCACCCCAAGTCCACACCGGGGACCCTACGGAGGGTCACGGCTGCGTGTCGGCCATGCCAGTGAAGCCGAGGAGGGCGAGACGGAGTGTCTGTGATCTGCTTTAAAATCGTCCAGAGGGAAAAACAGAAGGAGACGCGTGAACGGGAAGAGAGCCGCTGGGGGTGACTGCTGCTGGTGAAGGAAACACCCTCCCAATTCTGGGTCTGCCCGAAAACTTCCAAAGTAAGATCCGAAAATACAAGCAGGTCACCAAAGAACAACACGCCTTTCACAGACTGGGGAGCACGTGCAACTGAGCGAGGCAGGGGCTGGAGGAGGCATCTGGTCCCGCAGCCCTCGCCTCCCGGGCTGTGCGGGCCCGCGGCAGGGGGAGGCACAGCCCTACGGTCTGCAGAGGGCCCGCCTCCTCCCACACATCAGGCAACAGCCGTTGTTTGCGGGCTGACCTCGGGGTGAGCGGAGTGACAGCAGCAACCCTGGCCTCCCGAGGGTGCGGGCCCTGGGGCCATCAGATGAACAGCATCTCTCCTGGCAACCCCGGGACCCACGGGGAGGGACCACACCTGTGACTGCGGACGACACGCTGGGGACCGCAGCCACACCCATACCCCCAGCCCCGCAGGGACCAAGGACCCCCCGCAGCCATCACGGCCTCAGACTCGGACTTTCAGACCAGCTGCTTCAGGACACTATCTGGTGTGAGGGGAAGTTCCCCATGTCGCTGTAGTGTGAGAGCTCTAAATGGGAAGACTGCGTCTCAACAGTTGATACCCTTCGTGTTCCTGTGTGTCCTGGCGTTAAAAACGCCACCCTGAAAAGGGGCCTCGGGTCTCACCAGCTGCCTGAGGGGGAGGAGGGTCCAGGTCTGACGGGGGTGGGGCAGGTGGGCACACGTGCACACAGCAGTGCAGGGGGCAGTAACCACTCGCCCACAGCCCCTGGACCCCTGGGGCTCAGCCCCCCTCCCCACCACGCCTCCCTCCAGGCCCCCCCGTGTCCCCCTCCTGGGCAGGGGCTAACTTCTGTCTGTGCTCCGTCGCTTCCCCTCTGGGGACATGTGACCCAGCAGAGCAGGACCTCGTGGGCTGCCGTGTCCCCAGGCCGAGACCCCTGCTTCCCGCAGGTCTGCCGGGTGCTTGCTGATACGGCGGTCACCGGCCACATCTGCTATGCCATCCAGGGAAAGGCGGGCGTGAGGCGACAGGTGATGGATGGAGAGCCTCAGTAAATGCTGGCACTGAGAAATAAAGGTGGAAACGTGTCCAGCAAACCCCAGCTCTAATGGTGCTGTGGGTGAAACCACGCCCCCGCTCCCCCAGAAGATACGACCAAGTCCTCCCTACGGGTGCCTGGGAACGTGACCTCATCCGGAAATGGGGTCTTTGCGGATGTAATCAAGTTAAAATAGAGTCGCTCTGGTGGACCTGATTCAGAATGACCGGTGTCCTTATAAGAAGAGGGAAACCTGGACACCAGGGGCCAAGGCCATGGGAACGGACAGGAGACTGAGGGATGTGTCTCGGCCAGCAACACCCAGGATGGCCAGCAGCTCAGAAACTGGACGAGGCAGGAGAGGTCCTCCCGGAGCCTCCGGGCGGGTGGCCCACACCTTGAGCAGGCCTTCCGGCCTCCAGAATAAATCCCTGTTGTTTTACGGGGGCAGGTTTGTCGTACTTCGTTATGACAGCCCCGGGAACCTTTTAAAACAGCAACCTAAGTCACAGTGACTGCAGGAAGGGCCCCAGATCTGCGTGGTCCTGTGCACCAGGCCCACCCTCGTCCGACTCAGGAGTGTGGGCGAGGTAGGAAGATGCATCTTTATGAAGCTCTCAAGGGCTTCCGAGATGAGCGCCACTGACGCGGTCCACCCGCCACCCAAGAGACACGTGGCGAAGCCGCTCGTGTCCGGACCCTGGAAGGGCTTCACAGCACGTGGCTCCACCTCGCCTCCGCACCTGGGCCAGGGCGCGCATCCCCACCCGCCGCGGGCTACTCAGGGGAACGTGGGAGTGCACGTCCTGTGCCAGCAAAAGAGGTGAAGCCGGGCACCCGGGTGGCTCTGCAGGGAAGCATGGACCTGGCACGCCCACTTGCCGCAGCTGCACCCTGGGCGGCTTCCGGACGACGGATGGACAAACCAGTGTCTGTCCTAACAGCTACACGTCCGTCTCAGTGTCTACCAAGAAAACTACACCCACGGCACCAAACTCATGATTTCTTGACTATTCTTGCTTCTCAAGACCAAGCAAAAGAAATTTACGAGTGAGGTCGGTGGGATCCCCAGTGTCCAATCTGGGCAGAGCTCGAGGAAGCTGAAGAGACGGTGCCCGCCCTGCTGGCTTCTCCAGGCACCACGCGTCTGCTGACCTCAGAGGAAGACACCTCGTGTTTGAACCACCTCCCGACCCTCTGCTGGAGAGGATTTGCCAGACCGGTGAAGGCGCATCTCCTGGGCTGACCTTCCCGATCTGCTTCTCCCTGGAAGTACTCCCGGCTCAGCGCATCCTGAGCTCCCAGCTGGTCGCACAGGAACCACCGTCACTGCGGTACTGCCGCTGTCGGAAACGTCTAGCCACCTCTGCTCAGGGGTCCTGGCAGGTGGGGTTTCCACCTGGTGCAGAATGTGAAGCAGCAGGTGACTGAGAAGCCAGACCAGGGAGGAGAAGGAAGGAAGCTGCAAGAGCGCCTTTCCACAGCCTACTGCTTCCCACACTGTCCAGTCCAGCTCCGTGACTGGGCGGAGAGGGACATCCAAGGACAGTGTCGTCTGGTCCCTCTTTGTTCTACCCATAACGTAAGAAAAAACAAGAAAAGTCAGCATCTCCAGTGTTAAAGGCCCCTTTCCTCAGGCCCCAGTGGGCCCATCACTGACCCCACAGAGGCCCATCACTACCCACTTCTGAAAAGTTCTTCAAAACACTCTGAGGTTGAGGAGAAGATCTTCCCACAAAATAAAAGTGATGAAGTCCCAGTGCTCCTATACCATCATAGGCCATGGAAGACCACCACATCCTTGTGGAGCAAACATGAACTTCCTGCTCATGGAGCGACCCACGCACAACCAGAAGCGAAAGCAAAAGTGACAGCAGGTGGCAGCGGGCGCAGGGAAACAGCACGGCCATGAACGGGACTGTTCAGAGAGCAAGGCGCGGGCTGCCCCCCAGGGGCTCTGCCTGCCTGGCGGAAGCTCGGCTCTTTCGAAGTTAATGCCCATGTGGCTTTGTGTCCAGACTCCTTTGGTTTCCCTTCAGAAACTAAAAACTAGAAATGGACACACCGTCGGGAACAGCCACCTCAAACCACGAGGATGATCTGGGAAACCTTCAGGATGTGAGGAGACCCCGGGCTCTCCCAGGATGGCAGGAACACGTTTCCTCAGCTCTCTCTCCTCCGAGAATCTTTATTCAGGGAAATAACCGCCTTCAACGTTTAGTCGGTAGT